TCACCACAGGCACCATCGCGCCCGTCTCTCAAGCCATCGTGTCCAGCACCACCACTGCTATTGCCACCATCACCATCACCGCCACCATTCTCATCGCCATCATTGTCGCTGCTGTCATTGTCGCTGCTGCTGTGCGTGGGGACGAGACCAAACTGCGCGCGGCGGCGCGGGTGTGGGCAGTCCATACCAACTTCCTCTCCATACATGTCGGACACAGCATCGTCACGGTCACTACCACTGCTCCCATCATCACGAGGATAACTGCCATCAACAGCACCGTCCTCGTCGCCATCGTCATTGTCACTGTCGCCAACGTTGTCGCGCCGCGTCGTGCTGTGGGCGGCGTGATCCCTGTCATCATCGCCATCAGCCAGGCCCTGCCCGTCACCCCACGCGTGTGCACTCATTCTGTCGGGAGCAGAGAGGTTGTACGTGCGCGAGAGGGAGACTCTTGCTTGCCGTGCCGTCTGCCGCATCTTGTTTGCACGTGCAACGAACGTGGGAGACACGCCACGGTCAACCAACGCCTGGCCCTCCGCTGCTTCAAACCGGGTGCCATTGCCAACGCTGTCGTGGCCATCATCTTCATCATCACCATCACCAAAAAAGTCATCATCCACGTCACTGTCGTCAGGGTGGAAGTCGGCACTGTTGAACGTAAACGCGAGGTCAGGTCCAATCTCATCATCACCATCATCATCATCATCATCATCATTGTCAGCATCATCTGGGTGTGTGTGCGTGAATTTGTCTTCGCCCGCCGCCTGTGCCAGCAGTCGCTCCTGTGCAATTTGCATCTGCGACGGACTCATGGACATGTCACGCATGTGTTCTGACAGAAACATTATTCGTGTGTGCATATATATATATATATATATGTGTGTGTGTGTGTGTGCGTGTGTGTGTGTGGGGGGGGGGGAGTTGATGTGAGGAAAAGCAGGGTGTCTCAAAGCCGGTGGCAGAACGGAATTTCCCACATGTACAGAGCAGCACGCGCACCTACATCGATGTACCTCACAAATACACGCCAAACACACACACACACACACGCACACACACACGCATACACACGCACACACACGCATACACACACAAGTTCGCATACGCCTCACCTTCCACCCATTCAGGGAGTTTGTGGTCGTTTGTGCCAATGGGTCCGAGGACGAGGCGCGAGTCAATCTCCATTGCATCTGGCACCTGGCTACTGCGACGCCGCGAGCGGGACGGCACACCCGGCAGCTTGTTATACTTGGAGAACTGCTCCGAGGTCGCAATGTTGAGCGTTTCATTGTCTGTATGCGTGTGTTTGTGTGTGCATGTTCAAGTGTGTGTTACGTGACATGATGTGACATGCATGAGTGTTTGGGCTTGCACTCACTAAAACGAGTACAACTGAGGGCACACACACAAACACACACGCACGCACACACGCACGATCAGCTGTGCGGGGCATGTGGCATTGCAGTCGCTTTCGACAACACACCATCCACATCGTCGCCCGTGTCCACGTAGAGAACTGCGTCGGAGAGCGGGCGCAGGGACGAGCGCCGGCGGCGTGACGGTGCCGGTGGTGGCGGCGCAGCAGGGCCGGGCTCCTGCAGCAGTTTCGACAGGCCGTCAATGGATTTGGAGAGCTCCAACAACGACCTACACAGAGACGAGCAAGGGTGCGCGTGAGTTGGAAGGGGGGAAGGAGTGTATGAGAGGAGACAAAGAGTCGGTTGCACAGCACATGGATGACGTGACGATGGACAAGATTATCCAGCACGAAACGGGGAGTGGATTCTTGAGGTTCCCCTCACACACACACACACACACACACACACACACACACACACACACACACACACACACACACACACACACACATAGACACAGAGACACACACACAACACAACACAACACAACACAACACAGCACAGCACAACACAACACAACACAACACAACACAACACAACACAACACACTTTGTTGGAGGGGCGGGCACGCCGCTGGAGCGCCTTCGCAGGAGTGGCGAGGAAGGAGATGTCAGTTTGGAAAGGTTCTGCATGCTGTATGCAAACCGCTTGCCGCCGTCGAGGGCGCCGAATTCTGAGCTATCGTGAGGGCTGTGGTCGTCGGGGTGACGGCGGTACGTACTGCTGCTGTTGCTGTTGCCGCTGCTGTTGTGAATGCCGCCCTGTGTGGAGCGCATGAGCTCGATGGTCAAATCGGACGACTTGTTGCGACGGTGGCCGGACCGCCTGCGAGCAGCGCCAGGTGCAGGGTGGAAGAACGATGCGGGCTTGGGGCACGTCGCTGCTTGTGTTGAGGGGAAGAGGCTTGAGTTTCGACGGCTTGTTGAGCGCGATGCGGAGCTCTCGTCCGAGAAGCCAGCAGCGGAGAGGTCTTCAACACAACAAGTTGGCCAGGGCATACACGTGTGTGTGTGTGTGTTGATGGGGGGGGGGTTGATAATTGGTGGTGGTGGTGGTGGTGGTATGGTGGGTGGAGACAACGGCGAGGTAAGTCAAAGTTGCGGTCAGGGCAGAAGAATGTGAGCGAGAAGGAAAGCAGATGATGGGGGGAAGGGAGATGGCAACATGGGATGGGGGGCGGAAAGGTTGCAATGCGGGAGAAAGCACAACCATACCACAGCCACACCAGACAAAACAACAACGCCCCACCAACCATCAACCACTAACACGAATCCATAAGCAATACGTACAACCTGACACACCCACCCAAGCATCTCATGACAACAAACTGTTGGCTCGAACATCATCATCATCATCAACCCAACCCGCTAACCACCACCCGCAAGTGCCACCACCACCATCATCAACACCACCACCATGAATCACGTCCGCAATGGACTGATGCCTACACCATCAGTTCCAAGCCCGTGCCAAACGCATGGGTGCAAAGGACAGCGCAAGCACACAGCACGAGACAAGGCGTGCGCCCACCATCCGACAACAATAGCCCTTCCCCCAACCGTCAAAATCAAAACGCACCGACAGAAGCCCGCACACGCGGCATGGCTTGGGATTGCCTTCTTGAGCGGCTGTGGGAGGGTGATGCAGCCTCATCTGTGCTGCTGCGTATTCTCTCATCGCCCATTGTTGGTGTAGCTGGTGCTGCTGTTTCGGGGTGCTGCTGCTCTTGCACACACATCCACGCGCGCGTGTGCGCTCACCAGGAACGGGCAGCCTACTTGACTGGTTGGATAATATGCGGGTTGGTGATGGATGGCTTGTGGTTGGCGAAATGTGTTTGTGTGTGCGTGTGGGTGTGAGCGTGTGAGTGTGAGTGTGAGTGTGAGTGTGAGTGTGAGTGGCTGGGGAGGCTGGTCGGTTCTGTGGGTTGCCCTTGTGTGTGGGTGCGCACGTCAACTTTCGTGCCAGCTTCACGTCAGCGCGGGGTGGGTGGCCACCAACTATGCAAGCAAAGCACAGTTTCGCTGCCCGTGACGTGAATCAAATTTTCACACACACACACACAAAACACAAACAAGAAAAAAGCAACGAACGCAACAAACAAACGTTGCCAAGCAAGTGAGCTTTTGGCTGCTTGCGAATGTGGCACCGCCAGGCACACCAGACTGACGGAGGTTTGGGGTCGTTTATTTTGCTAGAGCAAGAGGTATTGTTCACGTCACGAAGATGGGTTGATGATGACATGTCATCATCATAATGTCATTGGCATTCTCACATTGGGGTTGGTCTCACACTGTCATCACATCGCACATCACACATTTCCTTCTGTCACTACTCACACCCATTGATGGCTGCGTGCCAAGGGAGGGGCGCTCAATGAAGAACTGGTACTGCTGCGATCACCAGTGGGAGCACCACCACCGCTGCTGCTGCTGCTGCTGCTGCTGCTGCTGGCCAGCGTGCCGGTGCCACCGTCACTGCTCGCCACAGTCCATGTCATGCCATCACCCGAGGGGCGAAAGGTGGAAGGCAGCAGGACACCCCATATGGATCTGCCACCGTCAATGCCCAAGAACAAACGCCACCGCTGCCCAATCGTGTGCCGCTGCTGTGGTGCAGAATACACCTGCAGACACGCGCGCGCGCACGTGTGTGTTTGGTATGTGTGTGTATGTGTGTATGTGTGTGAGTGTGAGTGTGTGAGTGTGAGTGAGTGCGGGTGTGTGAGTGTGAGTGTGAGCGTGTGAGTGTGAGTGTGAGTGTGTGTGGTAAGCCTGACACATTAGGTGTACGAGTGAAAATTTGTGGAGGAACAGGTACGGGAGGAGAGAGGAGAAGGAGGTTTGGCTCACGTGCAGGGCAAGCCGGTGTGCACGCAACACGAAACACACACACACACACACACACAATTGCACACGCACACACACACACACACACACACACAACTGCACACGCACACGCACGCGCACACACACAACTGCACACACAGACACATACCGGCCTGTCCTTCTTTGCTTGGTCTGGTTTGAACGTGGCATAGTACTCGATGGTCGTTTCGCCGCGCGAGACGAGATACACGTGCCTGCAAGTGGGGCATGGGCGACGACAAACGAAGTGAAGACACATGTGGGTGAGGGAGTATGTGAGCGTGAAGGAGAGGCACAGAGAAAGAGGGGCAAACTCAGGGACAAGCAGCTACCTCTCCTCCTCCCACGCACAAACACACACACACACACACACACACACACACACACACAAACACACACGCACACACACACACAGCTTGATCCTACCAGAAGAGCAGCAATCCGAGTGCAATCCCAACAGCGACGGTGAGGACAAATGCGAACGTCACAACGGGGCCGAGGTACTGGGCAGCAGGAGGAGATGCGCAGTTGGAATTCACACAATGCGAGACGAAATCATGAGCAAAGAAGCATGGCATGACATCCATCAGCAACTGCAACAAGCACACACGCACACATACATATTCTCACACAAAAGTACACACACACGCACACACACACACACACAGACGTACACAATAACACGTCAACAACACCACAACTCACGCCAGCGAGGAGAAGGCGGCGGATCTCAATCTTGTCGGCGTTTGTTAGCGTGTCGTAGTGGAACCGCCAGCGGTAGCGAAGGAGAAACAGGGGCGCACACACCGCGCCCACATACACGCACCCGACCCACAGGTAGGCCATGAAGAGGAAGAAGTACCGGTGGTTGCGAAACCCAATGCAGTTGTGGACCCAAGGGCAGTGATGGTCCATTTTCAACACACAGCTGTTCATGTGCAGGTGATGAGCAAACAAGCGGGGGGGGGGAGGGGCTGTATGAGGCACGGGCAACTTTCATTGGGTGGGGCGTGTAGCAGGCGCAACTTGACAAACACACACACACACACACACACACACACACACACACACACACACACACACACACACACGCACACACACACACACACACACGCACACACACACACACACGCAGGCAGGCAGGCAGGCGTCTGCGTACCGCTTGCACACGCTGCAGTGATGCGTTCTGACTGGCTTGACACTGTCACCTGCAAAGCAGCATTGTGACAAGGAGTGTGACGCAACACTGGGCGCTAACGCACGCACAGAGAGAGAGACAGAGAGCAACGCAGCCACAAGTGCACTCACACTCACACTCGCACACACACACACACACAGCAGCAGCAGCAGCCACACGCACACATGCGCGCGCACATTTCTTGCAAAAGGATTCGCCCGGCTGCAGCATGATGTCGTTGAGTCTCATCTGCAGAACCCAAAAGCACATGGCATAGTGGCGATGATAAGACGGCAACTGCGTACCAACACACAGAGGAAGAGGGGAGGAGAAAGACAGAGAGTAGGCACAGAGACAGAGCGGTAGACGTCGAGGTTTTAGACTCACACACACACACACACACACACACTCACTCACTCACTCACTCACACACATACACAGGCACAAAGGCGCACACAAAGTGGTACCTTGGGTGGGTAGCCTGGGCTGGTGATGGTAACCATGAGGTAGTTGAAGATGATGTTGATGAGAAGCCAGTGGGTGAACACGACATGTGCGGCAAACCCAAGTGAGGACGTCTCCTGTTGTATGTACGGCGCCAGCACCTGCGCACGCAGCCAGACGTCATTTGAGTGAAAGGCATCATCTGCACATGCGTGCAGGTTGTGCGTGGCAGAGATGGACTAACAACTTGGCAGTGGAAAGCACGATGATCGATGCACACGACGATCGTGAGTGTGCTCACCTTGTACCATGCAATCACGATGCTGCCGATGAGCACCCACGCCAGTGGAACGAATACCTGCAGAGTAGTTGGGAGGAGAGGGGGAAGAAAGACGGCATTAGGAGGCGAGAGAGTGTGTGAGTGAGTGAGTGTGTGTGAGTGAGAGAGAGTGTGTGCGTGTGGGGGGGGGGTGAGTGTGGTTGAGTGCGGGTGTGAGTGCGTGACATGGAGAGACTCTGTCAATGTGGAAGCATGCAAGGTGGAGAGGTAAGGAGCCAAGGGAGAGAAAGAGGGCAAGGACACATGTGCGCGCGTGCATACACGAGGACACAAACGCACACACACGCATGCATTCATACACACACACACACACACACACACACACATACAAGCGCATGCATGCACATACTTACCCATCCCAGCATGTACATGAGGTTGTCTGCTACCCAGATGAATGTGTGGACGAGGAATCGAACACACGTGACCATGCCATGGCGAGTACGCGACGAGCAACACGGTCGACAGTTGTGCTCCACCTCCGCCGCCATGAACGCATCCAACGCCTTCAAATCCTCAACAGGCAACGGCTCCATCGCCCTTTTGCTTGGCTTGAAGTTGTGGTCTCGTTGATAAAAGCAAATCGTCTCCGTTAAACATCACCAGCGCTCATGGTCCAATGGCTAGGATCCAACCCTCCCACGGTTGGGGTCCGGGTTCGATTCCCGGTGAGCGTACGGTTTTTTTCTTTTCGACGGCGGTGGCACAGCTGCGTGTGTGTAAGCCACACAAGGAAGGAAGCAAGGCCATGGTACTCCCTCACACACGCGCGAAGGGGCCCGAGCCACCTCTTTTTCTGTCTGTCTCTCGTCGCCCAAGTTCAAGAGTTCACGCCACTGCTGCGCTCCGTTGTTTGGTGGTCGATCTAATCGATGCCCAGATGATGGATGATACATTATTATTGGTCATTGGTGTACTGCAAAATGTTGTAACCACTGTAACCTGTGCCCAGCGCGAGCAGTCAACAATGTAGCTCCCCCCCCTCTCTCTCTCTCTCTCTCTCTCTCTCTCTCTCTCTCTCTCTCTCTCTCTCTCTCTCTCTCCACACACACACACACACACACACACACACACACACACACACACACACACACACACGCACGCAAGCACACACGCAAGCACACACACCACCAGACCACCACTATTCACACAAGCAATTGCAAGCCGCCATCCGCTCATCATCAAAAGCAACACAACAACATGCATCGCGCGCGGTGTGTCAAAAACAAAGAGACAAAGCAACGCTCCCACTCGGTACATAGCTCATGCCCAATCCCCCTTCCTTCCACTTACTCCGTCCATCCCGTCTACTTGACGGAATTCTTGCCAAACACAGCCTCTACAAACTCGCGCGATTCCCGCCGTGAGAGGTCGCTGGCCTGGCTCGCGTTCTCCACGACTAGCTCCTCGCGCTCGCTGGTTGGGCTGCGGGACGCAATGGATGAAGGGAACTCTTCTACTTGCGTTGATGCCATAGACGACGGAATCTCGTTCATCTCCTGCACACTGATGAGGGACTGCGCAACATTGCAACATTGCAGCATTTCAGAGCACAAACGAAACATACACAGTCGTGGTGTGAGTGACCCGAGGAAATCATCAGCCTGTGCTTGTGGCAGTCGTCGACACATGGCTGATGACCACGACCCTTGATACAAGCACTGATTGCACACACACACACACATTGCACACACACACACACATTGCACACACACATTGCACACACACACACACACACACAAAGCAACAGCAACAGCAACAACAACAGCAACAACGTTAAACAACAGCAGCGCCAGCAGTATACCGAAGTGTGGGGCATGGTGCCGTTGCGTCCCGAGCGCCAGTTGAGCTCCTGTGTCGTCTTCATGGACGACGGCAACTTCTTGGATGCGCGCGTCATGTGGCTGTGGAACTGCTCGCGCTTGCCTCTCACCGTGGCTTGCACCGTCTTGTCCCGCACGCAGTGGAACACAAAGATGAACAAGCCCTACAACGGCCATGCCACCACGAAGCCGACAAACAACACCCATGAGTGCGTGGGTTGTGACAAAGAACCTCCAAGTGACACTTGACGTGCACACAGCACAAACACGCATGCAGATGGTGAAGGGAGCAGCAACAACCGCACACCCACACACCCACCCACACCCACACCCACACCCACCCACACCCACCCACACACACACACACACACACACACACACCCACCCACACACAAGCACCTGGAAAGCGTTGAGGATTGCAAACAGATACTGCGTCTCCAAACTCCCTGAGATGGCCACGACTCCAAAGACCCAAGTAATGCCCATGACGCAGAAGAAGCTGGCACTGACTTTGGCACTGTTGGGTATGGTGTTGTGTGTGGTGCGCTTTGTCATGAGCTTATGGACAGGCATCACAGCACGAACGCAAGCATGCCACAAGCCAAAATCACTCACGCTAAGCATGCACAAAAACACACACCCTCAAGGACACACAATCGCAGACGTACACAAATACACACACACACAACAAACAGATCGCTTGGCCACTCTGAACAATCACTTTGCCTCCCCATACAAGGAACAGAGGGAAATGTCACCTTCGAATGAGCATAGCACGCTTCCTGCTGTCGCTGTTGGTCATGCCGACGCCCAAGACCGATCGCAGAATCCGCACGAAGAAGACAATGTTGAGGAAAACGACAACCACCAGCGGAGCAATAAACGCCCAGATGGCGCCGCTGCTCCACTTGAGCCAGCACACGTCGTAGTTGACATACCTATGAAGAAGGTGGTGATGGTGGTGGTGGCGGTGGCGGTGGTGGTGGAAATGTTAGCTGAGCAGCTAGACACCATCTTTGCTAGCGGCAACATCACCACTGCGAAGGAGAGTCCCACACCACCCCTACCAGAACCAACACAATCACGCCTCCCTCTCACTCTCACTCTCACAAGAACGCACACACACACACACACACAACACCCCCACCATCACACCAGCGTCAACATCACAATCACCATCAACAGCAACACAGTGCACTTACTCATCTGCGCCAAGTGCGCCGCCGCTGCAGGCCACAATGAGGGCGGGTACACCGTAAGCGATGGCGGCGTAGCTGGCGTGCTTGGCCGCATCCGTCTTGCCGTTGTCAAAGACGACAACAAAGGTCTTGTAGAGGTGAATGCCCTCAATCAGCATCCAGGTGAACGAGGTGAGCAGGAAGTAGTGCAACGACGCCGCCACGGCTGTGCACTGCGATTTGCCCTGTCCGCCACCGGTTCCCAGCACCAGCAGTAGCAGTGCTGTCGACAGGTTGATGCAGAGGTGCATAGTGATAATGCGCCCAATGGTGCGCAGCTTGCGGTACCAGGCAAACACCGCAACGGTCAGCAGCATTGACGGAACAGACACCACCACGCCGCCAATCGTGATAATGTCCAGAGCGAGCTTGTTCGTGCTCGAAAGCGGTTTTGGCGACGTCAGTGTGGCAAAGTTGGTCAGATGCGTGCACTCGCACTCAACAACCGAGGGCGGCAGTCCCGTGGTGTTGGTGCGCGCACAGCCAGTGCCCTGCCATGACCCAGACGAGGTGTCGTCTCCATCAAACTGCCAAAACACGCACGCATCATCGTCGCCCTCTGCTGGTGCCTCGGTCTTGTTCACACGGAAACGAATCTGGTCACGGAGGGGTGGCACAGTGAAGATTGGCGGTGACGAGCAGGTGAGTGGTGGTTGTTAAGGATGGGATGCGCACACAAACGAATGGTAGAACAGCAGCAACAACAGCAGCAGCAGCAGCAGCAGCAACAACAACAACAACAACTTAAACAACAACGACTTAAACAACAACAACAACAACAACAATGACGACAACAACAACAACAACAACAACAACAACAACAACAACAACAACAACAACAACAACAACAACAACAACAACAGCACATCACGCCGGCCAACTCACTGTGCCGTTAAAGGGCTGGTGCGTGTCCGAGTCTGCCTGGGCCAGGATGACTTGAGAGGAGATGAACGGCAAGCCCTTGTCCCGCCGCTTCTGCTGCAACTCCGCCGTCTCCTCTTCGACCGTTTCCTCGCTCAGAAACAGGCGTGGCGACGCGTAGACAGCAAAGCTGAAGTACGACGTCGGCGTTGCAGGGGACAGTTCAAGGCGTGACTCTGTGCTGCCGCTGCCGCTGCCACTGGCAGTGCTGTCGTCATCGTCCCAGTAGCTGTCGGCGCTGTCCACGGTTGGTGGAAACACGACACGCGATTGGCTCGTGCCGTAGTTGAACGCAGCGACCTTCACATTCTGCTGCTCAATGATAAAAGATGAGTTGGCCGGCAGCGCGCGGGAAATGCTGCCCAGCGCCGTTGCAAACGCAGACGGTAGCGACGCAGACGAGCCGCTCTGTTGTCGCAACCACATGGCGGTGCACGGCAGTGCGTGAGAGAAGCACACATTCAGATGTTTGGCGCGTGGGTTGTGTGTGTATGTGTGTGTTTGAGTTAGGGAGCGAGACATGCAAAGGCTCAAGTTTGGGAAACATACACGCACAAGCACGCATGCGTCGCTCACTTCACTCATTTTCGCTCTTTATCGCACCTCAGCTCAAATTCACAAATACACACACACACACACACACACACACACACACGAACAAACGCAAACAAAGCGCAAACACAACATACAATGGCACTTACACTGGTGATGTTGGCTTCAGCAGATTTGAGGGCTGCACTCGGCGCAGCAAGCATGTTGCTGATTGTCGATGTCAGACTCGTGGTGATGTTCCTCACGCTCTCCTCGGAGAGCGACGCGTTCAGCACGCGGCTCACAGACCCAATCACGTTCACAACCGCCTTGACATCCTCAGCGCCCATAAACTCTGTTGTTGTCGTCTCCTGGCTCAGGCTCGTTGCCACCTGCGCAACGTTCGTCGGGCTCAACGCCTCCGTCGCCAGCTCCAACAGGCGGTCGTTCCTGCACGCGGTGCTGTTGACGGCTCCAAGCACATTCAGCTTCGTGCATGTGCGCGTCGCAACAAGCGGGCGGGAGGTTGATGGACACTGCACACTCGACACCGCGTTGCAGCCAACAACCGCGGGCCACGTCACCCCGTTAAGGACTTCGCTTGGGCAGCTGCACTTGGACTTCTTGGGCGCAGTGGTGGTCGTCGGCACGGGCGTGGTGGTCGTGGTGGCAACAGCGGCAACGCTGCTGCTTGGAGGTCCGCTGCCTATTGCCGTGTGTGCCTTCACCTGCACAGTGTACGCGTACCCCGCACGCAGGTTCGCCAGCGTGTACGATGGTGAAGTGGAGTGATGCGCAGCACCAACGCACTTGCCGCTCACACACGCGTCAAATGCGGTCGTGCTGTCGCTGTCGTCGCACGGCAGCCCGTCGGGCTCGTCCACTGGGGTGCAGACGCCAAATAGGCAGGTGTTCTCGGCAGCGCATTCCAACTCGGCGCATTGCACGTTGTCACAGAGATCAAACGCATCTGCCGTCTGGTAAAACACCTCAATGTTGCTCAGGGAAATGTTGCTGTCGCCAGCAAGCCACGTGTTTGTGTATGCGCCCGTGGTGATGCTGAAAGAGTCCACGGTTGCTGTCCCTGTTTGGCAGTCTGCGCCCAGCACCAAATCGTCCCCTTTCAATGTGTGCAATGTTGAATGTGTTGTGCATGTGTGCGTTGCATGTATGTTTGTACGTGTGTATGTATGTGTGTGTGTGTTTGGTGAGGCAGGTGGAGATGGCACAGGGCACACATAGTGACTGTACCACATTATGCATTCTCACCTCAACTCAAACCGCAAGTGCTTGAGTGAGCACACAGACACACAGACGAACACACACACACACACACACAGAGGCACACCCTCATACTTATACATAAACACAAACACACATGCACACACGCAACACACGCTCGCCCTTTCTCCTTTGCCGCACCAAACGAAGGGCACAACGACGACTCCGTGCGAATTGCGGCGGTGCCTTCCTGCAACTGCGTGTCTGTTCGGTATGCGCTGCCGTTGACAATGGTGAAGAGAAACGCGTATGGATCAAGCTGGTACGTATCGCCACTCGCGCTCCACGACAGTGACGTGAACCCGCCAAACACGCGACCTGTCCTGGTGTGCCTGGCTACGACAAGCGTCACACCCTTGTCGTCACACTGCGCGTGGAATGTTGCAGCGCTGAATCCGTGAGCACTTCCAGAGTAGCAGCGGTGGAAATAGCGGTTTGGAAGCAGCGCCGAGAGCGCCTTGTTGTTACTGTCGTCCAGGATGGCAGAGCCGACAACGAGAGAAGGCGATCCAAATGCTGACGGAAAGTACACGTTGTCGCTCAGAATCGGGTAGCAGTGTACGGTGGTGCTGTTGCCGCTGCTCACGCAAATGTCCCGTCCTTGGAACGAGGTGGTGTAGATGGGGTGGGGCACGGTAAACTTGAGGTTGTCGTAAGCGCCCGAACTCAGGTCATACCTGGTAGCATAAGCAATGGCAGCGAAAGCAATAATGTGAGTATAGGTTGCACTTTGGTGCATGAGACTGTGGGATATCGGGTACAACCAAAACCACCAACAAGCATTCAGAGACGTATTCACGTAAACACACGCACACACACATGTATCTACAGACACAGCGAACACATGTGTCCACACACACACACACACACACACACACACACAAAACACACGACATACATGCACACAAAACACACGACATACATGCACACAAACAACCACACATGACACATACATGACACACACAGGCACCACGATCGCTTGCGCAACCGCACCTGTAGAATGTGTTGTCGAGAGCATCACCACGATAGAGCTTGCCGTTGATGGCCACAAGACCACCGAGAAGAAATCCAAATGCGTCTCCACCAGCACCACTCAGCTGTAGGGTTTGTTGCAGCGAGCCATCGACTGCGCTCAGGACGTACACGATGTCTCCAGCCACGCCCATGGCATACACGCTCGCGCCGTCAGCTGTGACGCCACCAACACCACTTGGCATCGCGTAGGACCACACAAGCTCGTGATCCGGCCACGTCGCCTTGAGAATCTGCGTGTTTGACGCAAGGTAGTAGGTCTCTGACGCAAAGTCGCTCCACAGCTGCACAACACAGCCCGCAAAGGCAACTGGCGTGAAGGATCCAAGAACATCCCCATGAACGTTCATGCGTTGTACGGTTGTTCCGCAGTACCCAGGATACCTGTGCAGTGTAGACGAGAATCGAAGAATAGAGGTGAGCAAACGGTAGGTGTGTGAGTGCGTGTGTGTGTGTGTGTGTGTGTGTGTGTGTGTGTGTGTGTGTGTGTGTGTGTGTGTGTGTGTGTGTGTGTGTGTGTGTGTGTGTGTGTGTGTGTGTGTGTGTGTGTGTGTGTGTGCTTGTGTGGGTCGCTTGAAAAAGCATGTACACGCCCGCTACGTGCACGGGTACGTGGTGTGAACGCTGGACGTGACATTGTCATGCACCCACCGCAGCCATCAGTTACAGTGCAAGACAACTCTTTACACACACACACACACACACACACACACACACACACACACACACACACACACACACACACACACACACACACCAGAATTCGTTTGCCCACGGGTTGAAGCCGCCGCCAACAACACTTGTCCGTGCTTGCAAGGTGTGAGTGGTGGAGGCATCCACGATGTCCAAGAGGTGCGGCGTTTCATCTGCTGTCCAGATGTTGTGCGAGATGACCTGCGGCGTGTGTTTGTTTTACACATGTGCGTGTTTGTGTGGTAATGCATACGCAGTGGATAAGTGGTGGTGGGAGTGGTGGTCACAATAAACACTTGCTGGTGAGATCCAACGACAGGTGCGTCCTGATCAACACGATGGTACAAGCACGCATAGTGCGCAAAGTACGACGCCTCAGGTCCCAGATTTCATGCTCATGCTCCTCAAAGGAGCACCAGCGTGGGTCTCAAACCAACAACGAAGAACTCTTCGCAAGCACACACACAGACACAGACGAATACACAGACGAACACACTCACCTGATAGCAGAAGATATTTGCGTCAAAGTCAGACGTGACACAAATGTCACGACCGGTAAACGACACGGAAGGGATGAGCGTGTTCACGTCTGTGCGCAGGATGAAGCCGTCAAACACGCCATCAGCGAGGTTGTATCGATACAGGGCTCTCCCCGACGCAAGATAGAGCTTGTCACGGACGACGGCGAGGAGACCCGAGTTGAGTTGGCTGTAGAAGGTTGCCACGTCGCTCACGATGCCGCCCGAGAGAAAGATAATTCCCAATACAAGCTTATCGGCCTTGCGCATCACAACAACTTGAGTGCTGTTGGCCTTCATGTAGTACACGTTGGTGTCGTCTGCTGCGATGCCGCGAACCGCAACGCCGCTTATCCTCCACGCCTCCTCCAACGATGGATACGGCCCTCGCCGCACGAATGCACCGGCATCGGGCTCAGCCGTGAAGAACTCAGCCGTGTCAAACTCACCCCACAGCTGTCGCGGCCACGACAGCGACGTGTTTGTCAGCGCAATCTCGCCCCTGTGTGCACCGTCACGCGCAAAGCGATGAATCTTGTCTGCCTTCAAGCCATCCAACAGCCAGAACTCGTTGAGGTGCGGCATGAATCCGCCCCCACCCATCGTGGAGAAGGGAGCAATGCTGGTCTGCCGCGCAACGGGCTGCTCGGTCACGTGCACGCCAACCCCCCTCCCAACACAAACACCGTCAATGCAACGGTCATGGATGGTGCTGCTGTCGCCGTCATCGCACGCCGCGTAGTTTGGCTTGTCCGTGTACATGCATTCGCCAAACGAGCAAGTGGGTGTCTCCTGACACGGTCCGGCGGGTGCGCAGGTGTTTGTCTCACAGCCATCGCCCACCACCGTCTCATGGATACTGTAGCCGATAATCTCGCCGTTGCTGCCTGGTGTTGATACGTCCATCTCGTTCCATGACAGCTCCATCGTGCTCGTGGACACGCTGTTGATTGTGAGACCGGTCGGTGCGGCGTCAGGAACGTCTTCGCGCGTGGTGCCCAACTTGGCTGCGGAGGAGATGCTGCGGGCGCCCTCCAACCCCACAGCATACACCCGCACCTTGTACGTCGTGGCGGGCTGCAGCGCCGTGATGACGTGTTCAAACACCTCCTCGTCACCACTGGTCTCCAACGCCCAAGTGACCTGCACCTGCGCACTCACAATTGGCCCAGACCCAGACACTGTTGGTGTTGCCGTGATGTCGAAGGCGCGGATGGGCGTGGCGCTGAACCACAGATCTGCTGGCACTGTCCACGACACAAGGAGGGCGTCGGAGGCTTGCGGGTATGTTGTTGGGTCCTCGGGTGGCAGTGCAACACCGACGGAGCGCGGCTGCCCGCTGGGGACGGTGAACGCTGGGTTAACCTGGATGGTGGCGTCTGGTCCCATGCCCAGTGTCGTATTGATAGCCACGGCGATGTTGTGGGAGACAAAAGGCACCGTCAGCGCGCTTGGCAGCGCGTAGTCGCTCGTATCAGTGTCCGCATTCAAAACCGCGACGTCGAAGGTTGCCTGGCCGTATGCCCAGGTGGTTGGCTGCGGTGCCAGCGGTTGCACGTGCACCACAAAGCCCGTGATGATGACGTTTTCTGGCAGCGTGCCCCAGGACAACAAGATGAAAGGTGACCCAGCGAGGTTTGTCCAACTGGCACCGAGGCCGGAAAGGGTCGGCTTAAGTCGTGTGCGTGTGTGTTTGCGTGTGAGTGCGTGTGCGTGTGAGTGAGTATGGGGAGGGACGTCATGTCACATCAGCGGGAGGATGAATCACCAAGAGACTGCTCTCCATGTCTTGGATATGGAAGCCAATCCAAGACCATGACACGTTCATCGAGAAAAGGCAGACTTTAACCGATTCAGCGTGAAGAACTAGAACAGGGAATGCACAACACATACCAGCTCAAGGACCCGCCGATTCCTGTCGTGAGCAGCATTGACGTGTGTTAAGCTGCACACGCAGGTCACAAACCAGGAGATGCAAAGAAACATCAACACACACAATTATTCGTGTGTCAGTCGCTGCTGTTGGACACATGTCGAGCGCGCAAACGAGCAACCAAACGAGGGGGAGCACAAAGGTACTGTACACCGCACACGCCTCATGAACCAGCAACAAGAGCGACTGGAACAACAATCATTCGGTGCAGAGCACCGAAACCGGGTCAAATCAGCAAGAACGAGAGGTAGACAGGAAGATAGGTCGGTAGGCTCTTGCCTTGACAAACCAATTGTACTTAGCAGCGAAGATCGCCAACATCTCACCTTTCTGGTGTTGAGGCTGCCGAATTGGCGGGAAGAACTCCAATTGAAGAAATCAGCATCAACACGACAGCAGCCAGCGTGCCCGCGCAAACACGGCGACACCTGTTCATCTTCCTTCTTCGTGCTTCCATGTGAGATGGTCACACGTTCACGCCGTGCCTCTTTGTGTCGTGTCTCGGTGCTGCTGCCACTGCGTCAAGTGGAGGACAGCTTGGGAGTGGAGGGGTTGTGTTGCCGGTGCAGCTGTGAGACAACGAGGAGGAGGAGGAGCAAAACACACAGCGCGTGCGTGTGCCTGTTAGTTGGCTTTGCTTTGTTGGTGTGTTTGTTGTTTGTTTGTTTCTCGTTTGTGCGTGTGTGGTATGTGAGGGTGGGGCGTGCAACCAACGTGAGGTGTTGGGTGGTGTCGTTTATTGAGGGGTATACGCGAAACTTTGCCGTATCATCAAGGAAATGCAAACTTCTGGCGTCATCGCGATTGTGCTCCTCCTTTTTACTCTGCATGCGTGCGTGCGTGTGTGTGTGTGTGTGTGTGTGTGTGTGTGTGTGTGTGTGTGTGTGTGTGTGTGTGTGTGTGTGTGTGTGTATGTGTGTGTGTGTGTGTGCGTGCGTGCGTGCGTGTGTGTGTGTGTCCGTGCACGACGCACGCACTCACCAACTCGCACAGACCGAGATGAACCGGCTCACTGGACATTGATCGGGACACGGTTTACTTGGCGCCACGCTCGAGCTGCGCCTTGCGCTTGTCATACTCGCGTTTGTACATGTTTCGAACCCAGTCGCGCTCAAACCTGAAGCGAGCCAAACAGGGAAGTACAAGCATGATTGAGGTAAGTGTAGACTGTGTGTTGTGTTGTGTTGTGTTGTGTGTTGTGTGTGTGTGCGTGTTGTGTTGTGTTGTGTGTGTGTGTGTGTGTTGTTGTGTTGGGGTTGGCACCGAACAAACGTTCAGCACGCATAAACAAAGCAGCAACAAACAGATCAACAGCACTGCGCAAACGACAACGACAACGACAACGACGACAACGGCAAAGGACGTGAGACTTACCCAGTCTGCTCGCACTGCGCCCAGACACTGTCCAGCTCCTCAATGTTGCGTGCAATCTTGAGCAGACCGAAGCGGCGCCACGCCAGCACACGCTCGTCACCGACATGCTCACAACCGGCGGTGACACACACGTCGCGGGTCAACTCGGACCTGTCCAACTTTGGGAAGAAGCGCAATCCCGTGCTGCGCTCGAGCTCGACCAACGGCACCTGTGTGTGTGTGAATGGAGGTCATTTTTGGAAAGGCTGGTGCTGACTACACACCATGCACAACACGCGGCACACAACACACGCAATAAGCACTTAGCTTGCAGCGCCACGAGCCAAAACACACCTGGTAGCGGTAGAGCGGCTCGTTGTCGCGGATGGGCCGGTTGGGCATCACAAAGGCTGACGGAGGGCAGGTGTGGAGGTCCGGGGATTGATGAGTGGCAAGCACACGCATCTGACTGGCACACTTGAAGATGCAGCGTATCATGCACAGACGCACATGCAAACACACACATACACACATGTACACGCACATCACATCACGTGCACAGACATGCACTCACCTGCAACGGCGCGGTCCTCGCCCTGGTCGTTCTCCGCTAGAATGACCTTGAACATGTGTGTTGGTGCTGCGACCTGGTTTGGACCGACAACCTGAAGGAGTAGGGTGTGTGTGTGTATGTGCGTGTGCGTGTGTCGAATCAGTGAGCGTGTTGTTACAGCACATATGCACGCACACACAAACACACCATCACGAACGCACACACACACACATGCACACACACATACACATGCATACACACATACACATGCATACACACACATACAAGCACGCACGCCGTGCTCACCTGGTATCGGACAGCCATACAGTTGTTTGTGTGATCCCTCTCTGCAAGGTACATCGGCCCGCTCACAACAAACACGTGCTTAAACTTGTTGGTCAAGCCACGCGACATGCGTTCAAGCCGCAGCCTGGTGGTGTGGGTGACGGGAACGTGTCGGTGAGACAAGTGCACATGTACAGCACGTGATATGGCAACAACAACAACAACGCACAACGACGTGAGCGCGCACGTGCACGAGCAGCCCTTGCACAGCAGGCAAAGAAGCACGCACACACACACCTACACAGACACACAGACACACAGACACACACAGATACAGACACACACACACGTACACACACACATACACACCAGTCACAGCCGTTCATGGACATCTCTTGTGGAACAATGTTGCTGGACAGCGCAAATGAATCGCGCATGGCTGCCTGTGTGTGCATGGAAGGCACAGGAGGGGCAAGCAGCATTGTGAGTACACCCGGCTCTGGACTGCTGATTCTCTGATCACGCAACACACGGACATACACACGCGCACACGTGCATACACACATGCATACGAACATGCACACACGAAAGCACACCTCGCTGAACTTGTTGTCTGAGGCGGCGGCGAGGTGACCGCGGCTGAAGCCCGAGCGCTGATAATCGCGCAGCTGTGCGCGGAAGAGGGACGGCACTGCTTCATCCTCGAAGAAGGGGAACGATGACCGATGTGCATGCACCTCCTCTTGCAGGTCCTTTGTCAAGTGCTGCACAGTGCACGTCGTGGAAGTGTGTGTGTCAGTGAGTGAGTGTGTGTCAGTGAGTGAGTGTGTGTCAGTGTGCCAGTGTGCGTGTGTGTCAGTGTGTGTGCGTGTGTGTGTGTGTGTGTGTGTGTGTGTGTGTGTGTGTGTGTGTGTGTGTGTGTGTGTGTGTGTGTGTGTGTGTGTCAGTGCGTATTAAGAGATTGAACAAGGAGCTTTGCAAAGATCATGGGGCCAAGGTGCAAGGCAGCGCACTGACTCACTTGAAGCACCCAGTTGGGCGTGCGTGTTTGGTAGTTGAGGCTGGCAATGTATCCAGCCTTGTGCACCACATTGCCCTCGCTTGGAAGACCGTACTTGGCTGCATACTCTGTGGTGTCACGCGAGGCAAGCAGTAACAGCGTGAGCGCGGGTGAGGTAGTGAAGGTGGGAACAGCACGCCACGCCATAATGTGCGATGTGTTGGTTGGTTGAGTGTGGTTAGTGTTATCTGCTGCGTTCGCTTTGCGTTTTTGCTTTGCGTTTGCTTTTGTTGGTTTGTTGTTGGGCAACACACACGACAACCGGTTCTCGTGATGTGACATGAGATGTGACACATGAACTGACGACACAGCAACCATGTAACGGAACCAACCAGTCAGGCAGGCAGGCAGGCACGCATGCATGCAGGAAAGTAGACAGCGTGATGAGAGGCCTGGGGATGGGAGGCAGGGAGGGTGTTGTGGCGGGTGGTCAGTGCTTGATGGCGCCCTCCCCTTTCAGGATGGCGATCATATCTGGGATCTGCGGGTCGTCTGCTCCCGAGTTGATGTACTTGAGCCACTGCTCCCACTTCTTCGCCTTGTACCTCTCCTGCCGATGTGATGTGTCGTGCGTGCGTGCGTGCGTGCGTGAGTGTGAGTGTGTCAGCAATGTTCAAGACTGCGCACACACACACACGCACGCACAGAGACAGACACACACACACCTCGCCGGTTGCGCTGTAGAGGTTGCCTGCAACGAGGCCAAAATTCTTGTGCCAAAATGGCGGCGCTGCATCGAGCTTGCTTGTCTCCCGCCCCAACAGCTCATCATACACCTGCACAGACAGCGGCAGCAGCAGTGATGAAAAGATGGTGAGCCGAGAGCCACTCAGATGGGGCAGACGGGCGTCCACATGAGACGACAACTCTCACATGAGTGTGTGTGTGTGTGCGTGTGTGCGTGTGTGTGTGTGTGTGTGTGTGTGTGTGTGTGTGTGTGTGTGTGTGTGTGTGTGTGTGTGTGTGTGTGTGTGTGTGCGTGTGTGTGCGTGTGTGTGTGCGTGTGTGTATGTGCGCGCCTGTTCGCCAAGGTAATGCACACCCTCCCGCCTCCCCTGCTAATCACCACCACCACCACCACCAACACTGCCGCTGCTGCAGGACCTGGTATGCTGCGCGTGCATATGCGAGCCCCTCCTCTTGCGACGTTGCGTCACGCGCGTTTCTCTCAAAGGAGATGGCGAGCAGCACTGCTGATGCAAGATACCCGTCACGCACCACAGCCTCCCACGTCCGCTCGTCGTACTTGACAGGGTCCGGGATCGCATACTGGTGCATGCGCGCGCGCGCGCGTGTGTGTGTGTGTGCGTGAACAAGAGAGGGAGAGTGTGTGCGCGCGTGTATGTGTACGTGTGATTGAACAAAAGGTGCAGACCACAAGACCATGCAGGATTCTACACACGACCGGACACGTACACACACATACACACAGAACACGCACTCTCATACACTGAGCATACCACCACCATCACCAACACCATTATTACCACTCTGGTGCCTCACGTTTGGGATGGCGCGAGTTGCGTTGCGAATCCACTCGTGTGCAGAGAACCGATCGCCCTTGCGCACAATTCTGCTGGACATTCCAAAGTGCCGCAGCTCGTACCTAGCACAGGCAGTGGTGTGTGTGTGTGTGTGTGTGTGGTATGGTGTGGTATGGTGTGGTGTGTGTGTGTGTGTGTGTGTGTGATAGTGCACGGGTGTGATGTGAGAGAAAATGCGCACACACGCACGCACACGCACACACACGCATGCACACACATGCACGCACGCACACATACAGCTTCATGCCAACGTGTCAAATTGCATGGCAGAAGTGCAGGCAATGACACACCCCAACATCATCGCGTATGCATGGATGCATCATGCACACATTCACATTACGTACACATGCACACACGCATGCACTGTCCACGCACTTGTGCTGCCACGTGGTGTCTTCTTCGTTCATGCCTTCAAACACAAAGATGGGAAAGCGATCGTAGTTGCTGTCCAGGAACGACAGCATATTGTAATACTCGGGTCCAAGCTGATACACCTTCTTCTCTCCTGTCGCCCGGCATTGGGGGTTGCGTTGTATAGGCGGGGAGTGGGCGCGTGCGCGTGAATGGAGTGTGCGTGAAGGGAGTGTGCGTGAATTGAGTGCGCGCATGCATGTGAATGTCCATGCATCATGAGGAAATGTTGCGTGAATGCGCATGCGTGGAGACGAGAACAAGAAAGTAGAAGCAGCGTCGGAATCATCCCAGAAACAACACCAAACTTGTGCCACCGCACTCAACCAGCCGGCAAATATCCATCCGATTCTCGCCCTCACCTGGGAACACGACACCTTCAAACTTGTCGCCCAGCATCGGCACATACCTGCATGTGTAATGGGAGAAGGTGCACATTGTGTTGTGAATGTGAATGTGAATGTGAATGTGAATGTGAATGTGAGCGCAAAGACACAGCAGCTCGGCTTATGAGCAAAGGCCTCATGCACACTTCACCAGCAACACACCCAAAACCCCAAGCCCCCCGCCGCCTGCACCTCACCATGGGTATGTCATCATTTCGAGGTCGAGAATGCGCAAATCGCGCCTGACGTGTTCGCAGTAGTGGAGATAGCGGGCCGCATTTCCGGGAAGATCTCCACGCGTCAGCAGCAGCGCCTCCTAAATCCGGACACGCCAAAGGGAAGGAGAGAGAGGGGGGGGGGGGTGTTATGAGTTGTCATTGCGAGAAAGGACGGAGAGAGTGTGTGTATGTGTATGCGTGTGTGTGCGCAAGCGTGCGTGTGAGTGAGTCAGCAAGCAAATTTGCAAGCGTCTTTGCAACAAATTTGTGATTGTGTGTTCGTAAGTGTGTGGTCGTCACATGCCACTCGTTCAGCCACGCAACCCTCCACCACAACTGCGCCATTTTGCACCGCAACTGCACCGCACCTCGGGCAGACCCGTGAGGAGTGCACGGCCCATATCGGCGACGGCGGTGTTGGTGCTCTCGTCACGCGCATCGTAGTTGGCCGCAATCTGCACAGACGCAACGGCAACTGCCGCCACCACCCCCAGCGCCTGGTGGGCGGCAGCAGCACCGTCATGCATGGGATGGCACGATGATGAGAGTGTGTGCGATTGTACAAGTGTGTGTGTGTGTGTGAATAAGCATTGATCGAACGGAAAGAGAAGAGCAATAAGCACAAGTGTGCTGACACATACACATACACGCACACGCATTCACATACACACACGCATACAAAGACACACATGCATACAAATACACACGCAAACAGGCACGTACCTGGGCGCTTGAGAGAGCAAAGAAGCGAGAGAGGCGATGCATCAGATACGAGAAGCCAATGCCGGCAAACACACACAGAATCTGATATATTCAAGCAAGTGGCGACGTGATGAGGACGTAGGAATGGGAAGTGCCCGAGCAATACTCATATTCTGACACAAGCACACCGTAGTGCACGCACACACACACACACACTTCCATGCAAGGACCTCCACCCACACACAAACTCTCTCGCATCCACACACGCACACAAAACTTTCAACACACACAAGTTCATGCAAGCCCACACGCAACGCCCGGCTGCGCACCATGTTTGGCTGCATCCAGAAGCGCTCGTGGACACCAGCGAGGAGGCGGTTCTCAATGCTGAGATTCGCGCGCCAGTTGAAGAACAGCTGTGCACACGCGCACGTGTACATGCGCACAATACAAAGGACGTGAGAATGCAATGGGTCGAGTCAGAGACGGGAACAAGAATACAGGTTCAACACAAGTACATGCGTGCACAAACACAAACACACAAGGACACACAAAAGCGCACACACATACACATACACACACGCACGCAACACAATCCGCACCTCGTAGAATGTGAGCATGCCCACGAGCGGCACGCGGGATTCGCGCACAACACGGCGGCGATCAACAGCAAACGCTGCAATGAGGAAGGAGAGGTTGTGTGGAGTGGAGACGCGAGTTGCATTGGGTGAATAGCAGCAAGAGGCACATGTATTTGTGAGCATAGTGCACAGAGAATGACATTGGCACACACTCTCGAAGACACGCGCACATATACGCAAAACCACACACACACACACATGCACACGCAAGCACAAACGCAAACATACACACATACACACACACACACCGATTACACAGATGGCGATGAGCGGAAAGATGATGTGATGCGTCTCGCTGCTCAGGTCCTTCATGTGCAGCTGCCCATCGCACAAGTCACGAGTAGGTCCAATTCGTCAACAAGAATGGTTGAAGAACTCATGCATGCGCATGTACGCACACCCGCACACAACACGCGCGCACACATGCACACACGCGCACACATACAAGCATACGACATATGCTCACCATGATGCGCTCTGTCAATGTTGTCGATGTTGTGCTTCGGCTTCCAAGATCAAAGGTGCCATATTCTTGGCGCAGGAAATGCCTGCAAGCAACTCAAAGCAAACGGGGCCGTGAACAAGGACTCGGTATGTGTGCGTGTGTGTGCGTGTGTGTGTGTGTGTGTGTGTGTGTGTGTGTGTGTGGGTGGGTGGGTGGGTGGGTGGGTGGGTGGATGTGTAAGAACAAAACAAGGGGAGCACCAGAAGCCCAGCAGACTTGCAAGCACGGGAGGAACTGACTTGGCAAAGCCGGCGAGCGTGCGCTGATCGCCCCACGTGGCCTAGTATCGAGTCATGTTGAGATACACGCAGTGGATGACATTGAGTTGCACATGGTGAAGACAAATCACATGTACGGCAGCAGATTGTGGCTACCTCAACGAAGACGTACATGCCCCAGTCTCGTACAAGCATTGGTGATACATAAGTATACGTCGGCACACACACACACACAAAAACAAAACAACAACACACACACACTCTCTCTATTTCTCACATGCATATACACGCGCACAGACACACACACGCACACACTCTCTCATGCACACACAGGCGCACACCTCTGCTTTGTTGAGGAAAGCGGAGATGGGAACGTAGAAGTAAGGCGTGATGCCCAAGATGGACACGACGACAAGTTTGGCAATGGCTGACGGCGTGAGGAGGAAATTGCGGCCATGCCACAGCACCCACGGCACCATAACCACCAGATACAGCACGACTGTGTGCTGGTTGGTGGTGCTGAGCGCGCACACGAATGCGCCGGCAACCGCCGTGCTGACTGATGGAGACTGGATGTATCGAATGAGAAACACCAGCAGCAGCGCAACAAAGAAGTTGTTCATCGCAAACACTGCCGCGGATGTGCATGAGTGAACGGTGAAGATAGGAGGTCAAGGATCGAGTGAGCGTGCGAACAGCAACAAGAAGTGGGTGGTGGCATGTGCGATGAAGAAAGAGGCCCACGTAGAAATGTAGAAATACACACGCTCACATAAAACATGCTCACTCACGCAGAATGTCACTCAATCACGCATACGCATATTCTCTCTCTCACACACACACACACTCACACACACTCACACACACTCACACACACACACACACATACACACGACACTCGAACCTTCGGCTGTGATTGAGTACATCCATGTGAGACGCGTGAAGCTGAACAACGCCGCAGCCACAATGCCGCCTCCTCGCATCGACGGTGGGCTCAACTGCACAGGGCATCGTGTTCAGCGTCCACGCATGCAAGTAGCCATGCCCAAGCAATGTGTGAGCGAGCAGAGTCAGGTGTCTAGCACATGAGCAGTCATGCACTGTGCCTGCACGTGCACAACACAAACACACACACACATTCACATACACATACACATACACATTCACATAAACACACGCACGCACGCACGCACGCACGCATGCACATACGCACACACACATACGCATTCACATTCACATACGCACATACACACGCACATACACATAACACGTACGTACGCACGCACGCACACACACACACGCGCGCGCGCACACACACAGCACAGAAACACATCCACATCTACAACACATACACATACACATACACATACACACACACGCACGCCCGCATATACATACGAAAGCACATGCACATATTCACGTACCTTATTTGTGACCCAGGCGATGCAGGTGCCGGCGATGCTGGCAAACGTTGCGGAAAGGAGATTGGCTCTCCAAGCAGGTGTGCCAAACGGCACAATGCGCATAAACATGTGGCACAGCAGCGTATACAAGGGATAGCCTAGATATGAAACGTAGGCGGCGTGAGAAAGTGGCGAGCAGCACCAGCAACGCGCAGCCTTCTAACACCCTTCGCAGTGTGCACGATGAGAGTACTGACACTTACCGGGGGGATGTGCCACGCCGAGCTCGCACGCCACCGACTTTGCGCAAGAGCACCAAGTACAGCCGCGCACAAGAGGAGAGCAAAGGGTGAGAAAGTGAGATCCAGTGTCGTGCCATGACATCAGCAAGGTAAAGTACAGCATTGCTTTCGCCCTTCAAGGGGAGTCGTGTACGCACCACAAGCTCGCCGGAGTCTCCTCCAGGAATACTGGGATACAGCGTCGACGCGAACACTCCTTGACAATGCCACAGCAACGTACAACACAAACAGCGAGGGCATGAGCATCATACAGCTCAAGCAAACAGGAAACAAGCAGCGAGCAGCACACACACACAAGCACCACAACAAGCAGCAAGCAACACCGCACTTCGTTGTGGTGCAGGTGTGACGTCAGGTCACAACATCGCACAAGGAGCGTAACAAGAAGGCAAAGGTTGGTGGCAGAGGCTTTTGGTATGTGCGTGCCCTCACCAAGCTGCACGCAGAAGAGGAGAATGTACTCGAGAGCATTGGAGCTGCCATCTCCTCCATCGTCGCCTACAGCGGCGGCGGCTTTCTGTGTCTGGCGCTTCCCTCGCCGCTTTGCACTGCCAAACACCAACAAGACAAAAGGGGAGAAAGGAAGACGACCAGTCCACAACACCAAGCTGAGTGAGTGGACAACCTCTAGTCACACAGGGCTGTGACGCACACTACAACTGCGTGCACTGCCACAACAACAACAACAAAAACAACAAACAACCTGCGCTGTGTCATCATGTTCCGCTGACCGCCGAATATTTGTCTAAATCATTCGCTATTTCTCCTCAATTCCCATCTCTGCTTGCTCCGCTGGCATACTCGCAAACAACAACCAATACACTCTCGCTCGCTCGCTTGCTTGCTTGCTCCATTGCTTTTGGTTGTTGTTGCTCAAACCCCTATTGTTGCTGACCTTCGCTGGCTTGTTGGGCCACAACACAACAACGCATCACACGCACGCACTCGCGCGTACACACGCACACATATAGACGTAGCTACACTCAGCCTCGTTTGCTTCGTCTGTCACCACGTCTGTGCGACCTCCGTCTGCGCGCCTCGTGCCTTGGGAGCGAAGCGAATTATGAGCAGCCGGTTGAAGCAGCTGTTTGCGAATGTGCCGATCGATGACGACGGCGATGACGACACAACAGCGACGCCAACGTCATCGTCGCCGTGGCCAACCACAGATGCAACACAGCAGGCAACCACAAGGACAACGCTGGCAGCACTGTCCACTCCTCAACCACATGCGCAAGGACAACACAAGCAGTCAACTACAGCTGTTGGATCAGGGCTTGCTGCGCTCAGTTTGGGGACCCCCGTGAACTCTTCCTCAAAGCAACGACCAGCTTACAAGAGCAAAGCGCCAGGAGCCCTCCAATGCCCATCGTAAGTGCCTATGCAGTGTGTGTGTGTGTGCATGCGCTATATGTGTCATTGCGTGTGTGTGTGTGTGTGTGTGTGTGTGCGTGTGCGTGCGCGCGCACGTCTCTGTGTGCGCACCTGCTTGTTCACTTGTCCTTCTTTGCCTTAGCTTGTGCGCGCAACAATATGCCCATCAAAAGCTCACTCATTGGGTTTCCTCCACATCCTTTACAGACCCCACATTGACATACCCCAACACACCGAGCCAGCAAGGTGAGCACACACACATATGTGTGTGTATGTGCGTGTGCTCCTTACTTGCATCACTTGCGTCACGCTTGCACTTGGTGAATGCATGGTGTATGCCCAATCGGCTGACCCTTGTGTCAATCGCCTGGTACATGCTCCGCAACTACAGGGCTATTGGAGATGAGGAGGGCCTCAAGGGCGAGATTGGCAAACTGTACATTGACGGCAATGTGTTCACCATCACTACCCTGGAAAAAGATTTTGAGATTGGCGCTGAGCTTGGGCATGGCACCTTTGGGTGCGTGAAGACGGCCGTCCACAGAGCGACAAACACCACCCTCGCCGTCAAGGTGTGTGTGTGTGTGTGCGTGAGGCTGTGTGTGTGAGCGTGTGTACATGTATGTAAGGCTGTGTGTGTGTGTGTATAAGGCTGTAAGGCTGCGTGTGTTCCATGCGCCCGCGTTTCATGGGCATGCATGTGCTTTTCAAGGCAATCATCCGAACACATGACTGACTCCCAATTACCCATGTCTCTTCTTTCGCTCCCACACCAACGCCACTATCACCTCTACTGTGTTCCCGCTCCCACATCAGTTGTTGCGGGACACAATGCGAGCAGATGAGAAAGAGAAGCTGATCAAAGAGCTGACGCTGAGCCGAAAGTTTGACAGCCCGTACACCGTCCGCTATCACGGCATCAACGTCTTTGATGGCCAGATTCAGCTCTTTGTCGAGAAAATGAGGTGCAGCGCGTGTTTGCTGTCTGTATCTGTTGCTGTGTACAACCCTGTGCTCCTTGTTTGCTTGTTGCTGTTGTCTTGCGTCCTGCACGGCGCGCAACTGAACACACACAGTCTCCCTCTCTCTCTCTCTCTCACTGACTCACTCACCGATTCACACACACACACACTCTCTCTCTCCCTCGCACACACACGCACACACGCTCACACACGCGCGCTTTGTAGGATGAGCCTTGATTCGATGATCAAGTACACGAAGAGGGCAAAGCAGCGAGTGCCAGAAGCCGTCCTCGGCCACATCACCTGCTGTGTACGTCATATTGGTGTGGGCGGATGGGTGCTATCCTTCCTTTGTTCTGTTGATGCTGGGTGCATATTACTGCAAGGGCTGGTGTGCACGTGGCGTTGCAAGCATCTTTTTCTTGACATACGCCATGCACGCACACGCACGCACTGTCTCTCCCGCACTCCCACGAACGCACGAAAACACACACGCTTGCGTCCGTGTTTTCAGCTGATCAAAGGCTTGGACTACATGTGGCACACGCACCGGGCGATGCACCGCGACATCAAGCCCTCCAATGCCCTCATTGGCTTCGACGGGTCCATCAAACTGTGCGACTTTGGGCTGGCGAACATTGCTGTCGACAGCATCCTCATCTCCAACGTCGGCTCGGAGCTCTACCTCTCGGTGAGTCGCATAGCCGTTGATTGCACGCGCGCGTGCGTTTCTGTGTTCATGTGCGCTGTGCAGCCGTGCGTGTGCGCTTGTGTGTGTGTGTGTGTGTGTGTGTGTGTGTGTGTGTGTGTGTGTGTGTGTGTGTGCGTGCGCTTGTGTGTGTGGATGTCGTGTCTTTAGGACCCCTTGATCGGATTCGTTTCATCTCAGCGCAACTCACGTACACACACACACACACACACATGCGCAACTCCTTCCCCCCCCCCCCCACACACACACCAGCCGGAGCAGCTTGATCCAACCACGTGCCAGCAAGGATACGATGTGCGGCGCGATGTCTGGTCGCTCGGCGTCACGCTCCTGGAGATTGCCAACCTCGAGTACCCGTTTAGGTCCGAAGCGGAGAAATACGCCTCCGCCTTCACTGTCATGAACCGCGTCACGCGAGGTGTGTGTGTGTGTGTGTGTGTGTGTGTGTGTGTGTGTGTGTGTGTGTGTGTGTGTGTGTGTGTGTGCCTGTCTGTCGGTCTGTCGATCGGTCGGTGCGTGTATGTATGCATCGAGTTTGTTTTGCTGCTGTACTTAGACACACGCATCCCGCTCTCCTCCTCCCCTCCCCTCATTCAACCAACCATCCTGCGATTATTCTACCGTCAGGCCTCATTCCACGTGTCAAGTATGAGTATTCACCGAGCTTCCAGGACCTTATTTCTTCTTGGTATGTTTTGGAGAAAGCATCGCTCATGCAACCGTCTCGGCGTTCCATGTGTTCCTTGCGCGATCAGTATCTTTGCGACTGCTTACGCACACGCACACACATATGCGCGCATTCACATGCGTACGCTTGCACGCACACACGTCCCAACGCACTCCCACCCCCACGCCTGCCTGTTCGCTTTCGGTGCAGTCTGGAGACGGATGCAAGGTGGCGGCCGTATTTCCGCGTGTGCGCGCAGCCATTGAAGCGGCTTGGCAGCGGCAGCAGCAGCACTGCCAGTCGTCAGAACAGCGTGACAGGTCGCCCAGACGCACACCGCCTGGCCAGCATTGGCGATGAGAACCCGTTTGCGGCGGACATGCGTGAGTCGCGCGATGGCGGTGTGGGCAGCGGCAGCCAGCGATCACCTGCTGCTGGTGTGTCCAACCACGCGGATACACGTGGCAATGCGGTGGCTTCGCCGGCGTCGGCCACGTCGCTTGCAACGCAATCGCCGCACGTGAGCGCCGAGGAGCTTGCGAAGCGTGAGGGCAAGACGATACACCCAGCGCTGATGGAGCATGAGTTTTTCAAGCAGTATGATAAGGTGGAGTTGAACGTCGCAAACTGGATCGACTCGTTGTTACGCTTGCCAGATATGGCAATGTGAAGCCTGTGCACGTGTGTGTGTGTGCGGTTTCTCTGTGTCTGTGTCTGTGTCTGGGTATATGTGGCTGCGGCTGTGTGCGTGCGTGTGTGTCTGTGTGTCTGTGCCTGTGCCTGGGTACATGTGGCTGCGGCTGTGTGCGTGCGTGTGTGTCTGTTGCTGGACTGTAACCGCTCACGGTGGGTTTAAATCTCCCGGCAAACAACGAACGAAAGAAAGAAAACCAAAACAACCCACCCAAACAAACCCCCCAACCGTACAACCCCGCCGAGGTGTGGTGATTGAGACAAGTGGAGCACCCTCCTACACTCATCCACAGACGCCACTGCGACACGAACGCAAGTATGTCAACGAGGACGGTGGAGGTTGGCGCAGCGTCGCAGCTCCGGGCGGATACATCCAGGCCTGGACGCGTCGTGTTGTCATGGGCGCGGCCCATCATGGACAACAACGAGGCAACGTTTGCGTTTCGGTGTCGAGTGCTGATGCGGCTGATCGGAAGGGTGCGCTACAACTGCTCTGTGTGTGTGTGTGTGTATGTGTGTGTGTGTGTGTGTGTGTGGTGTGTCGTGAACTTGGTCTTCTTGGTCTATGACCGTACAAGTGTCGCTGTGTTTGCCTACTGCGCCATCGGGTGACCCTTCCCCCTCCCCCTCAACCCACCGATCTCGCTCCAGAACTATCCTGGATTTCCGACAAGGGACAATGGCAACGAGGACGAAGAGGAAGAGAGGAACAGCAGCTGGACACAGGTGGCCGAGGGCAAGGAGATGCTGGAGTTGACACTGGACAGCCTTCCTCCGGCATCTGTGTTTCAATGGCGTGTGCAGACAATGTTGATTCGAGGACAGGGCGAGTCTTCGGCCATTGGCACGTTTACCACCCAGGATGCGCTGCCACTCTCTCCGCCGCGGGGCGTGTCTGCTATCGAAGTTGGGCTAGACTACGTCGAGCTCAGCTGGAAGCCGCCACGCTTCGTCAACGGCTGCGTCACACACTACATGTCAGTGGAAGGGATTATCGTTTGCGTGCCTTTGTGCGCTGAGTTTGTCTGTCCAGCACCTTCGCAGCTAGTCACCTTCCTCAACGTCCCCAGCGCAAGACTCACGAATCGTTGTATTGCGGGTTGCAGTATCTACTATGACATCTTCGGAGAGAACACACACCAGGAACGCCTGGTTCCAGGCGATTGCACCAGCTTTCGTGTCGAGCACCTCTTCAAGCAGAGCTGTTACAGATTTCAAGGTAGGTGTATCGTCAGCGGGTAGCTGCATTCGGGTGTGTGTGTGTGTGTGTGTGTGCGTGTGTGTGTGTGTGTCTGTGTGTGTGTGTGTGCGTGCGTGCGCATGTGTGTGTGTGTGCGTGTGTCACAGACATCGAGAAGCTTTTGAACCAAGTGCAGCCGTACGGTGCCTGCCTGAGTGGTGTCATCGTCTCGATGCTTCATGCACACAATCGTGTGCGCTTGACGGCCGTCTCCACTCCTCTTCTTTCATTCCCTCATGTACCTAGATGCCTCCTCTCACCCTGATCGACTTGCTCTTCTTTGTACACGTGGCATGCAGTTGCGGCGAGAACAAGTGCAGGGGAGGGTCCACCATCAACGATCGTCTTCCAGGAGACCCGGGCAAGCCCACTGCAAGCGTTCCTCCATCAGAGCAGCGCTGCGAGCACACCGTTCAGCAACCCAATGAAGATGACATTCGTGGCAGGTACATTGTGTGCGTGTACTCACATTGTGGTTTTGCCTTGGCAAGGTCTCGCTCGATCACTCCCACTTGCAACGCAGCACACACACACACACACACACACACACACACACACACACACACACACAAACAACACATTTGTTGATGCACACGCTCATGCACATGCACGAGCTCACGTGTGTCTGTGTATGTGTGTGTATGTGTGTTTCATCCGGCCACCACCACAGGTCAGTCCAACCACGTGCCACCGACAAGGCGCCGTTGGCTATTCCCGCTCTTGGACACACGGCTCTTGGAGTCTGCGGATGGGCACGCATCTGATGACGAGGACAGCCTTGCCGTTGCCATGCCAGAGGCGTATGAGGACGCCGATGGCCGTCCGCGGCGTGGTGCACAGGGGGGCGTCGGAAGCGGTGCCATGAAGCAGCTGTTGCAGAAGTTCCAGCATAGCGCAGCCACAGTACCACAGGTAACAGCTTCCGAACAAAGACGAAGAAGAAACTTGCTTGGAGGCACTGTTGGCAGCGCATTGAGTGCTGCGTCGAGAACAAGCAGCGGGCAGCAGCACGGGCGTGGCAATGATGTTGATGGTGATGATGCTGATGATGATGACGACGACACAAGTGCGCATGCGCTGCCTTTGTCGAACATCCCACGGGATGCGCCGTGCTGCCGGTCATGGTACGAGCGCGGGTGGTCGCTGTACGCTGGCCATATTGGCTTGCGTGGCGGCGCCCACTACGTTGTGTGGATCTTCCGCCGCCTCAAACCGCGAACACAGGAACATCGATTTGCAGCAGAGGCCACATGCCTGGTGAGGCGAAGTGAGAGGGTCTGTGGTGTGCTCTGTGTGTGTGTGTGTGTGTGTGTGTGTGTGTGTGTGTGTGTGTGTGTTGTGCTGTGCTGTGTTGTGCTGTGCGATGTTGTATTGCGCTGTGTTGTGTTGCTGTGTCGTACATGCACACATGCCCTGTACAACTGTATTTTGACCTCATGAGCATCACGACATCCCTGTTCTCAAACAACAAGCAAACGCGCAAGACAACGTCCCTCGTGAGCCGGGGCATGAACGCGCCCAACACGCTTGCAGCGCGCTTTGCTGCCGTTGTGGAGCTGGCCAGAATTGGCGGAACTGTCCCCCCAGACGTCGCCATGACCACCTAACCAGCTGTGTGTGTGTGTGTGTGTGTGTGTGTGTGTGTGTGTGTGTGTGTGTGTGTGTGTGTGTGTGTGTGTGTGCGTCGCAAAGTTTGCTCCTGCTGCTGAAATATGTGTGTCAAGTATGATGTGTATTTGATCCGGTCCTACAACAGAACAATGACAAGTGAGAGAAAAGCAAGCGCAGCATGGGTGTGGATAAACACAGCAACAGCAGGAGCAGAGAGAGAGAGAGAGAACTGTAACCAGTGTAACAAAAGGGGAGCACAGGAGAGAGGTTGCACAACCAACACCAACGCAATGTCACGCATGCACGGAGCATGTCAGCCGGTGTGCGTGATCAACGACCGGCTGGCGTTGGGGTGTGACGTTTGAGGGCCGGAGATTCTTGTTCATGTCAGATCCACTGAAAGAAGGGGCGCCTGTCTGCGACGACCTGTGTGTACCGGCTTGCACCTTCGGATGACGTCGAGCTCCCTCGCCGCCGCCGCCGCGACAGCTCAACCGTGACTGCACGAACGGGAACGGGTACGGGTACAGGTACGAGAACAGGCAGAACGGGAGGGAAGTGGAGAGGCGATTGAGATAGCGTGCGTGCAAATGAATGTGTGCGTGTGTGTGTGTGCGTGTGTGCGTGTGTGTGTGTGTATGTGTGTGTGTGTGAGTGTGCGTGTGTGCGCGTGCACGTGCGTGTGTGCGAACATGAGATAACACCACTGATTCCCCACTCTCCACGCAAACGTACTTGGCGGTAATCGGACAAGTTCTGCGGGTGAGAGGCGCTGCTCAAGCGCTTTTGTGAGATTGAGCGCCTGGGTGGATGGGTAGAGTGGCGAAAGATGTGGGGCAAGGTGAGGGGAATGCGAAGAAAAAAATGGGCAGGAGAGAGGGGATCGAATTGCGCGCAGCGAGCACAAGCATCACCCAGTTTGCAGATTCACACACACACACACACACACACACACACACACACACACACACACACACACACACACACACACACACACACACACACACCACGCGCGCGCGCGCGCGC